AAAGGTAAGTTCCTAATTATCAAATAAATAAAATATCTAATCATCTATATAAATAAATAAAATACAGAAAAAACGTTTTGGAAAATACCGACATAAATTAATTTAAAAGTATTGAGCAACCTTAACGTTTTTTTATCCCGCCATAAGTTGCTATAAAAAACAAATTCTGTACAAATTGTGAGGTTTTTTCGGTGTTGTATTGCTCAAGCCCAACGTTAGAAACTATTGTTGTTTCAGTCTTCTTTAACATCTTGTCGATTAATGTTGCTTTTGAACAATCAAGCGATTATTAAATTTCCCATTATTATTCATTCTTCAAATGAAAACTGGAATATAAATAACCGAGTGCTTTCTATATAGATGTTTTATTCAACAATTATAACATTGTTCTTCTTATGAAAATTGCTTTTATATTACATTTTTATATTGGATATCTGGACAACATTTATTTTATCTTCAAAGTGTTTTAATATAAGTACTTTGAAAGATTTATCTTATCAATCAAGTGAAAAATCAATAGAAATAAAAAAAAAGACTGAAGACAAGTAGTTTAATCTTTCCAGTCTCGTTTGTGATATCGATGATTCATTAAACAAAAAATACTTAAAAAAAAGAGAATCAATTATTAACATTGAAATAGTTCGTAGACTTCATTCGCATACAAATATTTTCTCAACATGACGATGCGAGAGCAAGAAGTTGGTGTGTTTGATTTCGTCCTTTTGGATGAGATAACACTGGAGAAGTTCATGCAAAACCTAAAGAAGAGGTAGGTCGCTTGGGTGTGGCGTAAAATGAAAAATTTCTTTGAAGTGCTTGAGGAATGTTACGAATATAGAACGGCGACGATTTATTATTATTTTTTTTTCGCTTCCACTTAACGGGTTTGCCATCATAATCGGCATTTGCAAACTAGAACTGTGAAAGTGCAAGTTATTCTATACAATGCTGGCTTCAATGCTAATTTAATGTCATAACTGTTTTAGATAGTATGGATAAGTTTTCACCACATGTGTCAAAAAATAAAATAAAGTAAAGAGTGTCATCAGACAACACAAACACTGATGACATCATTTTCATTCACTCATACTTATAAGTATCTTAACGCATTTAACTTAAGGTTTTCTAAAATATCAGAAATAATAGTATAAATATGATACATTGCAGGGATGATGTCATGTATTCTAATGTTAACTGCTTAACTGACTCACGTTTTTAAGTAATAATTATTCTATGCATAATTTTATGTGAAGGTTTTTTTTAGTTTTTTTTTTTTGATAATAAGTAGATATTATTATCAGGAAACGTTAGATATTCTGAAGATTAATATGTTCGTGGTCAAAGCCCTGATGACTCATGCCTATGTTTCTTCTCGTCGTTTTTATGTTTCTCTTTCGTTCGCGGCGAAGTGAATATAAATAAATAATAACAAATAAAGAAGACTAAACCCAAAATAACCTTCTTTCCTATACATTGAGTTGATGAAATATAAACTTATTCACACAAAGCACAGAAAATTATAAAATGAAATTTTTTCCCTGAGTACGTTTGAAGTGTTTTTAAAATGAACACACACATTACCAAATTAAAAGAAAAATTAACCTTATATTTCAGGCTAAAGTTTACTCATTGTTGAATGCGTTGCTTTCGCTTCACTTGTAAACAACAGGCTACCATCATAAGTTTTAATACCTTAAGAGCTGCGTTTTCATTCATGAATTTCGTAACATAAATTTGTGTGCTCCAATTTAACTTCAATTAATCGATTCGCTTTCCATCTCGTAATTTTTGGATTTGAGCTTGTTTAAAGACGTAATTCAATCTTTCTTTCATTTCTTATATCATCGGCGGAGCATTTTCTCATGACGCATGGGCTTTTGTTTTTTTGCTGCAAATATTGATGAATCATTTTTGTTCTCAACTAACAAATATTTTTTTGTCGTTTTCCATAAAATTTTATTATACTTTTAAAGTTTATAAAGTCAGCACATATACTATGGGTAAAGATTCTTTTCGATTTATAAGGTTTTAAAAAAGAAATTTTGCCGAAAATGAAGAGATAGTAGGATAGTAAACAGAAATAGAAGAATCAACTACAATGAAATTTCGACAAAGAGAATTGGTTTCTTTGAATTTTTAAAGATCTAAGACTCATTAAAGTTTAGCTGGATGCCATAACACTACCTTGAGCATCAGATTCATCTGCATAGTAGTCATCGTCGTAATAGTAGTAGCAACCATAATATTCATAATAGTAATCATGACCAGAAGCTGATGGATTATAACCATATGGATCAACTGGCGAACGAGATGGATAAGGCTTCATGGATGACATTTCATCATTTGATTCAGCATCTTCAGATGAATCTTCAATATCACCACTTGAAGGATCTTCGCATTCATCATCACCGCTTGGTTTCACAGGGATTATGAAAAGTAATCGAGATGTTCTGATAAGTCTGAATACGTTAACTTCAATATCTATTTCCACATTGATTATCTTGATTGAAACTGATGTCGAAATTATTGTGAAATCAATAACGCAACAGGACGTGATTTCTACTGTTGTTGTTATTGTATCGATTTCTATTGATATTTCCCTGATACGTATAAATATATTAATAACGACTTGCCATTCCTCGATGGTTAAATCGTAAGTGCCTATCACAATGAAGGGTAACTCACCAGTTGGATCACACAACCAGATAATCAAAGCCTTAAAATCTTCTTCAATTAAAAGAACTTCAAGTTTTGCGATCAAAGATATATAGAGTTCATTCAATTCTATTGTGAGTGCTGAGATAGTCACACTTATAGAAGAACAATCAACGTCACAACTTGAACCTGATTCAATATCTGTGGAAGAGTCACTTTCTTCGCTAGAATCTGCGATATCATCGCTTGATCCATCTCCTTCAACGCTTGATCTATCTCCTTCAACGCTTGATCTATCTCCTTCAACGCTTGATCCATCGCCTTCAACGCTTGATCCATCACCTTCAACGCTTGATCCATCGCCTTCAACGCTTGATCCATCGCCTTCAACGCTTGATCCATCGCCTTCAACGCTTGATCCATCGCCTTCAACCCTTGATCCATCGCCTTCAACGCTTGATNATACTTTTAAAGTTTATAAAGTCAGCACATATACTATGGGTAAAGATTCTTTTCGATTTATAAGGTTTTAAAAAAGAAATTTTGCCGAAAATGAAGAGATAGTAGGATAGTAAACAGAAATAGAAGAATCAACTACAATGAAATTTCGACAAAGAGAATTGGTTTCTTTGAATTTTTAAAGATCTAAGACTCATTAAAGTTTAGCTGGATGCCATAACACTACCTTGCGCATTAGATTCATCTGCATAGTAGTCATCGTCGTAATAGTAGTAGCAACCATAATATTCATAATAGTAATCATGACCAGAAGCTGATGGATTATAACCATATGGATCAACTGGCGAACGAGATGGATAAGGCTTCATGGATGACATTTCATCATTTGATTCAGCATCTTCAGATGAATCTTCAATATCACCACTTGAAGGATCTTCGCATTCATCATCACCGCTTGGTTTCACAGGGATTATGAAAAGTAATCGAGATGTTCTGATAAGTCTGAATACGTTAACTTCAATTTCTATTTCCACATTGATTATCTTGATTGAAACTGACGTCGAAATTATTGTGAAATCAATAACGCAACAAGACGTGACTTCTATTGTTGTTGTTATTGTATCGATTTCTATTGATATTTCCCTGATGCGTATGAATATTGATATAACGATTTGCCATTCCTCGATGGTTAAATCGTAAGTTCCTATCACAATGAAGGGTAATTCACCAGTTGGATCACATAACCAAATAATCAAAGCCTTAAAATCTTCTTCAATTAAAAGTACTTCAAGTTTTGCCATCAAAGATATATAAAGTTCATTCAATTCTACTGTCAGTGTTGAGATAGTCACACTTAAGGAAGAACAGTCAACGTCACAACTTGAACCTGATTCAATATCTGTGGAATAGTCATTTTCTTCGCTAGAATCTGCGATATCATCACTTGTTCCAGCATCTTCGGAAGTTGAATCGCCACCCTCATCTTCTGATGTGTCGGTTCCACCTGACACACCAGAACCCTCAGTACTATCATCACTTGTTCCAGCATCTTCGGAAGATGAATCTTCAATATCATCACTTGAAGGATCTTCACATTCATCGTCACCGCTTGGTTTCACAGGGATTAGGAAAAGTAATCGAGATGTTCTAATGAGTCTGAATACGTTAACTTCAATTTCTATTTCCACATTGATTATCTTGATTGAAACTGACGTCGAAATTATTGTGAAATCAATAACGCAACAAGACGAGACTTCTATTGTTGTTGTTATTGTATCGATTTCTATTGATATTTCCCTGATGCGTATGAATATATTAATAACTATTTGCCATTCCTCGATGGTTAAATCGTAAGTGCCTATCACTATGAAGGGTAACTCACCAGTTGGATCACACAACCAGATAATCAAAGCCTTAAAATCTTCTTCAATTAAAAGAACTTCAAGTTTTGCTATCAAAGATATATAAAGTTCATTCAATTCTATTGTGAGTGTTGAGATAGTCACACTTATAGAGGAACAGTCAACGTCACAACTTGAACCTGATTCAATATCTGTGGAAGAGTCATTTTCTTCGCTAGAATCTGCGATATCATCACTTGTTCCAGCATCTTCGGAAGTTGAATCGCCACCCTCATCTTCTGATGTGTCGGTTCCACCTGACACACCAGAACCCTCAGTACTATCATCACTTGTTCCAGCATCTTCGGAAGATGAATCTTCAATATCATCACTTGAAGGATCTTCACATTCATCGTCACCGCTTGGTTTCACAGGGATTATGAAAAGTAATCGAGATGTTCTGATAAGTCTGAATACGTTAACTTCAATTTCTATTTCCACATTGATTATCTTGATTGAAACTGACGTCGAAATTATTGTGAAATCAATAACGCAACAAGACGAGACTTCTATTGTTGTTGTTATTGTATCGATTTCTATTGATATTTCCCTGATGCGTATGAATATTGATATAACGATTTGCCATTCCTCGATGGTTAAATCGTAAGTTCCTATCACAATGAAGGGTAATTCACCAGTTGGATCACATAACCAAATAATCAAAGCCTTAAAATCTTCTTCAATTAAAAGTACTTCAAGTTTTGCCATCAAAGATATATAAAGTTCATTCAATTCTACTGTCAGTGTTGAGATAGTCACACTTAAGGAAGAACAGTCAACGTCACAACTTGAAGTCGATTCACTTGAAGGATCTTCGCATTCATCATCACCACTTGGTTTCACAGGGATTATGAAAAGTAATCGAGATGTTCTGATAAGTCTGAATACGTTAACTTCAATTTCTATTTCCACATTGATTATCTTGATTGAAACTGACGTCGAAATTATTGTGAAATCAATAACGCAACAAGACGAGACTTCTATTGTTGTTGTTATTGTATCGATTTCTATTGATATTTCCCTGATGCGTATGAATATATTAATAACTATTTGCCATTCCTCGATGGTTAAATCGTAAGTGCCTATCACTATGAAGGGTAACTCACCAGTTGGATCACACAACCAGATAATCAAAGCCTTAAAATCTTCTTCAATTAAAAGAACTTCAAGTTTTGCGATCAAAGATATATAGAGTTCATTCAATTCTATTGTGAGTGCTGAGATAGTCACACTTATAGAAGAACAATCAACGTCACAACTTGAACCTGATTCAATATCTGTGGAAGAGTCACTTTCTTCGCTAGAATCTGCGATATCATCGCTTGATCCATCTCCTTCAACGCTTGATCTATCTCCTTCAACGCTTGATCCATCGCCTTCAACGCTTGATCCATCGCCTTCAACACTTGATCCATCGCCTTCAACGCTTGATCCATCTCCTTCAACGCTTGATCCATCGCCTTCAACGCTTGATCCATCGCCTTCAACGCTTGATCCATCGCCTTCAACACTTGATCCATCGCCTTCAACGCTTGATCCATCGCCTTCAACGCTTGATCCATCGCCTTCAACGCCTGATCCATCGCCTTCAACGCTTGATCCATCGCCTTCAACGCTTGATCCATCGCCTTCAACGCTTGATCCATAGCCTTCAACGCTTGATCCATCGCCTTCAACGCTTGATCCATCGC